TATAGAGAGAGATAGAGAAAAAAAAGATTTGTTTTTAAAGCAACCGCAAGTATATTGATTTTTTTTCTAGACGAGAAAKAAAGAATAAAAAAATTATGATATATTTATAAACACACGCAACACGAAATTATTCCCAGTTCGTAATATATTTACATATTATTAGAATAATCATAAAACAATAGAGAATAGAAATATGTGAAATATTGAAAAGATACTTGTTGATAAAAATATATTTTAAATCTAAAATACACGATTGGACTATACAAAATTCTCGTATATATTAGAAAGGTCACTTTTGTATTTTTAAGCGAGACGAATATAGCGAGACTCGCATCGCATTGCATTGCATTGCATTGCATTGCATCGCATCTCATCTCATCTCATCGCATAGTATCGCGTCGGTGTAAGTGTTATTCGCTTTAATAAACACTCATGTGATATATTATTCATTCCGAGTGTTACACCCGTTATTTTCTTGCGACTCTACCAAAAGTCAACTTGGCCGATATAACGAAATTACAAGGCCGATCTATCTATAAAATCTATGTGTTAAACTTTAAAGAAAGTGATAAAAAAATAAAGAAAGAAAGAGAGAGAGAGAGAGAGAGAGAAAGGAAAGTAAGGTTATTGTACTTGAAAAAAATTGTCTTTCTTATATAACATCAATGTATTTTACGCATATAAATATTTATGCATTAAATTCTATTCCATTCTCGTGAACACGTTCACGATCGTTCAAAACCATTGGCCTGTTGTTAGTTCATTGTGTGGGAGTAGGTATCTCTTCTACATGAGTGACGAGAAATCATTATTTCTGTTCGTAGGCACGTTTGACTTTGATACGTGGGATTTACGCCACGTCTTCTACATTCTATTTATTTCTATGTATGTATGTATGTATGTACGTATGTATGTATGGGAATAAGAGATGAGAGAAGTGACGAAGAACTTTGGCAGAAAGATTTCAAGGCTCACAATGTGTCTTCGTCCGAATACGTGACATGATTACTTTCGTTAACCGAACCACCATAAATTTATAGAGAATTTCTTTTTAAACGCGTTGCCATGGGCAAGGGAGAAAAATCCAGACACGTGTATCTCATTTCGTATGGATCGCGTGGGGAAAAAAAAAGATCCCCTTATTTGGTTCTATGGTTTCGTTTGACGTTGTAACGAAGTTTGAATGCATGAAATCTTTAAGTAATCAAAAGAATGATCATGTCAGAGATTTTTCTCTATTTTTTTTTTCTTCTTTCTTTTTTTTTTTAAGAACAAATGTGAAATCGCATTGAGAAATGTTCTTTGAATTGTATTTAACGATATCTTATAAATGTATAAGAAAATTATTGTTATTCCTAGGAGTCCCGTGCGTCATTATTATATTTACGATATTGATTAAAACA